CTGCAGCCGGTGCAGCAGCCCGTGGTCGTCTGGGGGGAGGGAGGGAGGGAGGGAGGGCAACAGTCCCGAGGGGCCAGTCACCACGGCGACCACACAGGGAGCACCCAGCTCCACGGGGCCACCCACCGCCCAGGAGAGGGACCCCAGGGCCCCGCTGAGGACAGGAGGCTGGAGGGCGGCAGAGAGGAGCCATTGCCGGGTGGGCAGGCCAGGTGAGTGGGGGCGGCAGCCTTACCCCAGGCTATCAGCGTGGGAGGGGTCCCCGAGGCCTGGCCCAGGGGGTGGACGGTGAACTGGAGGCCCTCGGGCCCGCAGTGCAGTTCACCCACATCTTCCGGGGCCTCGGGCTCACGCTGGCCGCTCAGGGCCAGAGACAGGGGCAGGCAGAGCAGCAGGGGGCACAGCCACATGGCGCCGGGAGCGCGGGGCGTCCTGCAGGTCGAGGTCGGGTCAGTGCCGGAGCTGGAGCCGGCGTGTGGGCGCCCGAGGGCCCCTTATATGCGGAGAAGGAAGGCCAGGTGTGGGCGCACAGCCATCCCTGCAGGTGGGGCTCCTGCAGCCCAGCCCGGCCCGCAGCGGCCTCGGGTTAAGCGTGTTAAGCGGCGCGATCAGATCGAGGGCCCCCGGGGCCCAGAGAAACCTGGGGCCTGTTATCCAGGAGGCTCCCACGGGGCCTGGGCAGAGCCGACCGCTCGCCGGCCTCGGAAGGCATCCGTGCACGTCTGGGCCGGCCCTGCTCTGCCACCGCGAGCTGCAGGCCCCGGACAGGCATCCGTGTCCTTGTCTGTAATGTGGGCACAGTAGCCCCTGGTGGGAGCGTCTGTGTTGCCCGGCTGGCGTGGCTCAGTGGTTGAGCATCCACCTATAAACCAGGAGGTCACGGTTCGATTCCCGGTCAGGGCACATGCCCGGGTGGCAGGCTCGATCCCCAGAGGGTGGCGTGTAGGAGGCAGCCGATCAAAGGTTCTCTCTCATCATTCATGTGTGACCCCTGTCAGTGAGTTACAGCTTTTCATCTGCAAAGTGGGGGGTGGTCGTTGACCTTCCTCAGAACACCTTGGTGGTGTCCTCTGTCGATATGGGGCGGCAACGACTCTGTTACTGTTTCTACTAATGCCTCGTGGGGTTGCTTCATTTTGCACAACAATGAGATTCTACTAGTATGTACCTCTATATCTACATATCTATACATCTCTATATCTATACATCTATATCTAATCTATACATTTATATCTCTCTAGATCTATATCTCAGATATAGCAGATATGCTGTGCACGGCTTTGCAAACCAGATATACGTCAGTTATTCATTCACTGGGGGAAATTCCATCTCTGACATTCTACATTATTGATTTCTCTGCACCCCAGGGTGAAAGACTAACTTCCAAGTGGAAACGTTAACTGTTAAATCCTTAGCCCAGATGCACCTGCTCAGTTAGCTCTGCAGGTTCCCACCTGCTGGCACCAGGCCCGATGCGTGTAAGTCGCGGCCAGGCATGTGGCCGTGGGCTGGAGGGCGGGGAGCCCAGGGCGCTGAGCATGGAGCTGGGACTTGAGGAGACTCGGGCCCAGGCAGAGGCTTCCCCCCCCCCCCCCGCCCCCCTCCCCTTAGCTCAGCCCGGGAGGCAGACCCCCACCCAGTGTGCGGGTTTCAGGAGAAACGAAGTGGCCGCTCTCTCTGGCCGCCCGGCTTCTGGCACGTTCCCCTCAGGCTGCCTTCAGTCAGAGGCGACTTTGCAAAATACTTGGGGCAGAAAGTCAAGCGGAACATCGGACGTTCAAAGGGACAGGACGGGAACAGCAAACACGACTCCTCAGCAGTTCCTCCCGCCTCCTTTGTCCCCTTATCAGTGAGGAGGCGGCTCAGGCACGCTCCCCGCTCCCCGCTCCCCGCCGCCTGCGCCCGCCTCCTGTGGTCCTTGAACCTGAATCCTGTGTCGGGATCACGGTTACCAAGGAAATGGAAAGTGGGACAGGAATAGAGACGATGCTCATCTGCAGAATCCTAACAGAAGCAGAGGAACTGCCCTCCACGGACCCCCCACGCTCATGGGCTCTTGTTTTACTGCTCTTAGGAATCACCCTTGTTGTAATACTAATTGCTTAAATACGGTTTTTAGATATATACTAACATTTGTTAGCATTGATTAGGCAAGACTTAGAGTGGACGGAACTCCTCCCTCCCCCCTGACATGGGGGATGAAGGAGCAGCAAAACTGCCAGGCTACTTAGTAAAGAAATTAACGGAAAGGCCAGAGGATTTGCAAGTTGAATGCATGTGACTATCTCCCCTTTAAGGGCTCATTCTGGGAATTGTTTTGTACAAACATCCATGAGGTGTTGTTCGCAGAAATGCTTTCCTTTCGTGTCCGCGGAACCCGCTGTTCCAAGGCTGGCGGGGAAACCCGGGCCGGGGGTTGGCGGTTTGGCGGCTGCCTTGCCCGCGTGCGGGGAATGCCGGCAAGCGGCCTCGTTAAGGCAGGCGCGGCCATGCCGCTCTGAGCAGGCAAACAGCAACGTAGGACGAGAGAAAGAGAGGAGAGAGAAGTGAGGCGCGGGGTGTGCCCACAGGGCATGAACTTGTCGTGTGTTTGCGGACATATGTGGATGAAGAAAAGGGCCACATGCTAACCTGATGAACTCAGGGCTAAACTAACCACCAAGGATGGTCTGAAATTAAAAGCCTTTCATTAAACAGCAGTTTATGGAGGGTAGTCATGTTCTAGGCCAGTATCTTCCTTGACAAAGATCAACTTTGACCTCTACTGAGCCTACTGTCTTTGTGCATCTGATAACACACCTGTGGAATGTCGGGGTAACTAGTAACTTCCCTTTTCCCAGACCCCTCGGGGCACAACCGATGTCCTAGGGCGCAGACCACACATTCCCTCCCTGTTATTGTTGTTGTGTTAATTGCTGATTGTTAACTGACCTGCATCCACCACGTCAAAGAAGCACGCATCTATCATTTTATTTTTTATCCAACCCCAGAGGTCCCCCCCTTTACTTTCTCCCACCTCCCTAATCTACACCAATGGATTTCATGTAACCCACTTACCTCTTTCAATTATCCTCCTATATAATAAAAGGCTAATATGCGAATCAACCAAATGGCAGAACGACCGGTCGCTATGATGTGCACTGACCATCAGGGGGCAGATGCTCAATGCAGGAGCTTCCCCCTGGTGGTCATTGCGCTCCCACAGGGGGAGTGCTGCTCAGCCAAAAGCCCAACTCACAGCTGGCAAGCGCAGCAGTGGTGGAGCCTCTCCTGCCTCCGTGGCAGTCGGACATCCCCCAAGGGCTCCTGGGCTGCAGGAGGGTGCAGGCCGGGCTGAGGGACCCCCCTCCCCCGCTCCCCGAGTGCACGAATTTCATGCACCAGGCCTCTAGAAATATATCAAACACGGTGAAAAACCGCCATTCTCCGGAGCATGATCTCAGGACATTGAGATTCTGCATCCCGGGAATTGTCGACAGTTTGGCTCAAACACACTCGCAAAAATTCTTGACAGGTTTGAATGTTCTTTTACCTTAACGCATCCATACCCCACAGTTCTCAGTGTTGAAAGGGGACTTGCCAGTGACAACTCTGAAATGGCCCAGGGACACTTCTCACCACCACGGACTAGACCTTTCACTGATTTGCTAGCACAAGACAAGGTGAGGCCAGACAGCGGCAAAACGTACCGCGGTCGGCCGCGAACTACTTCCGAGATGCTGGCGGCAGAGGCAGCCTCCCGTGCAGACTGCCTACCGCCCCCCTGGAGCCCGCAGGGGGACCTCGTGCTGGGCTAGCGACGCAAGAAAAGCAACCGCGCGGCGGTTCCTGGAAATGGAATTGATCTGATGGTTGTGTTGCTAGCAATTCTGTGATGTCAAGGCCAGCCACACAAAAAAGCGGGAAATAAACACTAAGAAAACAAAATATTTTGTGCTTCCAGATCAGTAATGGCTGTGTGACCGGATAATCCATGGGCCCGTGTTACCTGTCACGACTTGTACCAATTCAGCAGAGACAGGGTTGAGTCCTAGATGAGCGTCTATTCCAGTCCTGCCGGCAGCGTGGGAGAGCGGCAGGGCACCCACAAACCTCTGCTCTGCCCCCCGCCATCAGCCAGCTGCCTATATAGGGTAGGAGGACGAAGATGACATGGGGAAGTAGGCAAAAGGGTACGTCAAACGGGCAGTTTACAGGTAATGGGGCCTGGAGATTTGCAAAGGGCTGTGGGTGTGCAAAGGCGGGGGGGTCTTCAAAGGGCTGGCGGCCCTGGTGTCTGCAACAAGGTTGTCAATCTTCCCGTGATCACAGGCAGCGCCCGGATGGGGAGGAGGGGCCGCATGTCCGGGTGAGCGCCCAGGCCCACAGGCCACTCCCAGCCAGGTGAGGCTGTGCCTGCTCCAATCAGAACATCACCATCGCGGCCAACAGAGCGTGATGACTGTTCCTTACCGTTCCAGCTGGCCCCCAACAGGCTGTTTCTGCCGCTATCATAAGGGAAGCCACACAGTTCTGCTTTCAGAATGAGTTTAACTTTGTCCTCTGCTTCCTATAAGCCAATCAATGATTTAAAAAGCACACAGACGCTTTGAGACAGAGCGGATTGAAAATGTTTTATGATTCATGTTGAGCTTACGGTGTAAGCTGCTGTCAACAGCTGCAGGGCAAGGCGAGGGTAGGAGCCCCTCCTCCACCTCCCCCCACGGATGAGGTGGGGAGAGGGGGTGGGGGGTTGCTGGGACCTGGGGCTCTGCAGCCAGGGGCCAGGCAGTGAAACGTGTAGGAAGAGGAATTGGATTTCAGATGCTGCCTCGGTCATTCATCGTAAAAAATGGATGAGGATGTTTATTCTGCCAGAGGTGCACCTTTGAAATTCTTTTGTGTATAATAAATTTCGTGTCATGAAGTGTGAAGAACTACAGGAAGCGCAAACATGTCAGTATTTTGGCGAGATGAATACGAATGCCGGACACCACCTTTTGTCCATGTGTTGAGTCAAAATGTGAGATTCTTGCCCTGGTCGGGCTGTTCAGTGGTTAGAGTGTCAGCCCGTGGATCGAAGGATCCTGGGTTTGATTCCCGGTCAAGGGCATGTACCTCAGTTGCAGGTTCAATCCCCGGCCCCGGTCGGGCATGTGCAAAGAGGCAACAAACTGATGTATCTCTTTCTTTCTTTTTTTAATATATTTTTATTGATTTCAGAGAGGAAGGGAGAGGGAGAGAGAGTTAGAAGCATCAATGATGACAGAGAATCACTAACCGGCTGCTTCCTGCACGCCCCCTACTGAGGATCAAGCCTGCAACCTGGGCATGTGCCCTTGGCCGGAATTGAACCTGGGATCCTTTAGTCCACAGTCCGATGCTCTATCCACTGAGCCACACCAGCTAGGGCTGATGTATCTTTTCTAAA